CTAATGGAAGGGGAAGGGTAAAAATAAATAATAGAAAGGGCAAAATCAAAGGCTGACCCAGTCAGGATGAAAAAGGGTGGCAAAAAACAAACTAGGGAAGGTTAGGAATCTCAACATGGGTCATAACTGATTTTGATTGTAATTTTGTTACTGATTTTTGATAGTTTACTATTTTTAGGGAGGTGTTAACTTAATGAATATTTTCCTATTTTTGTTTTTATTATATTGTTATAAGGTGGGTTAAACTGAATTATGTTTCTTTTGTTTTTGTATATATTGCTTTTAGTTATGTATTCTAATTTATTCAAATAGCCACTTTTTCTTAATTCTGATTCATATATTTTTTATTTTCATTAAATATTTTTATATTGCTAGAATTAGTTTCAATTCTTTTATTAAAATATCGGTATATGTTTAAGTTCATTAGGAGGGTGATTTCAACTATTTGCTTTCTATATGGTTTGTATGTATTATTATTTAAATTAAATGTTCTGTCTACAAAATTTACTATTTTTAGGTTAGATTTTATGTCTATTTTAAATCCTAATTTGTCAAATATTTCTATTATTTGTTTTCTTATATTTTCTATTTTTCTATCATTATAATTTCTTATAATTATTAGACAATCATCTCTATATAAACCTATATCCTCTTTATTAATAATATTTAATAAATTATTTATAATACACACTTATGATATATAATTATAATATATCACACATATAGTGCTGGTGTTAATAAAACAGTGCTCAATGTAATATAACAGAGCTATTAAGTATATATTAATAAATATACATTGATGTAATGAATTGGCATACACCTGGGTTCCCTCTCACAGTAATATGATTGGTTGGTGTCAGCCATAAATACAGAATGATGTGGGGGACGCCTACTGCCTACACCTATTACCTACCACTATGACGAGGACCAGTCCATTACGGTTACCTGCTAGATTGTCCTACTCGGTTACAGTAGTCCAAAACCACTTTGCTACTTCAAACAAATATATCCCTTTCCGCAAAATATCATACATATTATCCCTTACTGCTAGCACAATTGAGTTTCATGCATGACGGAATCTTCAAGTGTTGAATATGAACTGACTGTTACACAATTTGAATTGTGGTTACCTCAATGTTGACATAGTTATAAATCATGCTGCAATTACAATTTGCTGGGATTACAGATATTTTTATATATATATATATATATATATATATATATTAATGAGAGAGAGCGAGAAAAAAATAGACAGAGAGAAAAAATAGAAAGAGAGAAAGAAACACACAAATGTGTGTAATTTACTGTTTGTCCCAGGTTATTTGTAGTTCTTATCTTAAAACATTTAACACAATTCAAAGCCATGATTAATAAAAAAGGGGAGGGGTAAAAATGAAATCTTGATATTTTTCTATAGCATTTTCTTTGTCTGGCCCCTTCCCCTCATCTTGACAAATTGGGTCCCCAGGGCATCATATCTAATAGAAAAGTTTCATTATATGCAATTTAACAAGGAATAAACAGGCAGTCCCAATCTAATAAACACTGTCAATATTTTCCAACTTGTTCCCTCGAGAATGCAATACAATATTTCAATTTTGTATTTGCCAATATTCAATATGTATAGATTATATCACATACTATAAAAGTGCAGGTGTAAATAGGAGCATTTTTTGGGGGGTTTTTTTTCTAAGTCTTTACCTACAAAATGTCAAAGAAATGTTTTTAAACATAGTGGGCATCATTTTTATTTTCTCATTTCATATCATCCTATTCAATAATCAGTCCTAAAAATTCCACATTAACCCTTAAATGGTAGGAAAAGGTTTGCACAAAGATGCACACCAAATAGAAATGAGGAAAGCCTTCTTTTTAAAAGGATACTTTTATGCCTATTTTCCTTTTAATTAAATACAAAACCTATAAAAAAAATTATCTTTTAACACTTTTACTTTATAACAAAGAAAAAAGGGAAGTAAAAAAAATGCAAGGTTCTTAAATTTAATATTTTTTAACACAACATGTTACTCCCTAAAGTATTCCATGGAGTGGTGCATTTTTTGCAACCAAGTTCTCACCATTTTTTCACCTCTTTTCTCTTCAAGAAGTATACATGCAGATATAGTAGAGTCTTTGGCTTGTTCTTTCAACTTTATTTACAAACAAATATTCCAGGAAATGATATAACCTCATGAATTCTAAAATTGCCAATTAGTCATTTGAAGCAGAACCATAATTGAATGATGCCTGTATCTTTGGGAAAAGTTTAAATCATCAATTGATGATATCTACTGATATCCACTAAATTATCAAATGATATCCGCTGTTTACGAGTTAAGAATTTAAAATCCTTCTTTAAACAGAAAGGAAGAAATCATTCTTGTAGATTAAGAAAAAAAATTGTTAAATAAAATCCATTCTCAATTTCTTCTAAGTTGTATCTGTCATTAAATAGATATCTAAATTTAACTAATCTTCTTTTATATGCAGCATCCCTTGAGGCTGTGGCAATCATGGCTCTCTACAATTTCCAGTCTTTTGTAACTCTTAGTAAGGTTTGTCTTTTTCCAATCTCTCCGACATTTATACACGTTTGTTAGTTATTTACTGCTTTTCTCTGTCTCTCTTTCCTTCAATATGCTAGTGCCAAATTTTCTAAGCCCCCTTTCATTATATGCCTTAGAAATTTCAATTATCCCTTTCTACGTAAAAGTGTCCTTTTTGATTCTATTTTCCTTAAGACAATCATTACTCGTGTTCAGTCTATGGGATTATCAGCATCCTTCTATAGTACCACATTTCTGTTGCTTCAAGTCTCTTCATCATCTGTGAGATTGTTCAGCATTCACTGCCATATAAGAGGACCACTATTACATAGCAGATCAGCACTTTTTACTTTGTTTCTAACAAAACTTTCCTGTTTCTTAATATTTAGCTTGGCTTTTGAAAGGCATCTTTTGCTTATCCAATGTGCCTTTGGATTTCAATGTCACATTTTCCAACCACTTCCTAGATATTTAAATTTTTATACTTGCTTGTAGTTTGCATCTTTGATTGTTCCTTTTGCTAACAAACAGACATTCTATCTTCTAAAAATTGAGGTTTAGTCCTTTCTTCTCACTTTCCTTTCCTACCTTCTGTAGGAGTTACTGTTATTGTTTCCTTTCTTTGTCTGCTATAAACACTGTGTCATCTACAGATCTACTGTTGTTAAGATTGTAGCAACCAATAATGAATACCAGTAGAATTTCTAATTCTCTCAGGATTACCTCATTTTAAAGGTTTTATTTAACCTTTAAAATGTGAAAAAACACAACCCTGTCTTACAAACCTTTCTATTTTTATGTAAGTCATTTGTTCCCAGTACAATTTTTGGATTATTCTAATATCCTTCCAAATATATCAAGCTTACATAGCAGTTCCAACAGTTCTTTGTGACATATTTTATCAAATGCTTTTGCATAATCTATAAAACATAGCTATACATTCTTCTGCATTTGTATTACTGTGATATCATTCTGATCATGAATATTGCATTCCTTCTTTTAGTGTTTTTAACAAAATCAAACTGTTCTTGTCCTATTTCTGCAATGCTATTAAGCAGAATTCAGTTGATAAATTATATGAATCATTAGGCTGATTGTCTAATGCAGCTTGCATTCATTTGCACTTAGCTTCTTCTTAATTCTATGAACATTTGTCTACTAAAGTTTTCTGGTATATCACCACTATTGTATATTTTACTTATTATTTCTGTAATTTTGTCAATGCCCTTTAACCAAGGCAGCCAGCATCTCTATTACAATCCTATCTGGTTTTGCTACTTTGTTCCTATTTAACTTGACCATTGCTGATTTCACTTCAGATCTTAATCTTTCTGGTCCTTCTATGATTTTTGTCTAGTGCAGGTTTTCCTATTTTGCTGTAGAAGAGTTTTTCGATGTATCTATTCCATCTTTAAAGTATTTTTTCTTTTTCTATTTCGTCTTTTCGATTTGCTCCTCTTGTCGATGAATGCAGCTTTTGTTTTGTTATTTCTCTTATTCTTTTAAGTCTATCTACCTTATCTTTGCTGCTCATTCTTTCCATTTCTACACACTTTTCATTGCGCCATTCCTCTTTTGCCTGTCAGCATATAGGATTTATAAAAGACATTTTGTAATTTTCAGATTGTCTAAAAAGCAGCATGAAGTTGTTTGTGGCTAAATATTGGTTCTGGTTTCAACAAAGAATCAGACATAACACAGTCCTCCTCCAATTTGTAACAAATTTGATCTTCAGACATTGTAAAGGATAACTGATCTATTAACATCTATGCTCTAGGGAAAACAAGACACAATAAGAGTTAAAGAAAAACTCAGGATACAAAGAAAAATAGAATGGCAACTGAAGAAAAAAAAAAGTATGAAAAATAAAAATAAAAACCATAAAAGAAAAAAAATGAATGAAAAGTGAAGAAAGAATACAAAAGAATGACAAAAAATATAACAAAGAAAAAGAAAAACAAGAAAGCATCAAGCATGAATAAAGATTGAAAAAGAAAAAAAAAAGAAACAATGGAAATAAAATGGCATATAAAAAAAAGAGAAAAAAGTAGAAGAAAACCAAGAGCTGAATTCCAAGTGAAAGGTGAAATTATCTTTGGTAATTGGACTTTAGCCAAATGCCTCAAACAAAGGAAGATGCTGAGGCAGTTGGCCAGAGGTCAGTTTAGAAGTGTGTCTTTGCATTATCTGAACCAATCACTTCAATCTTCACAAGCTCTTTCTACCCTGACCTCCTGTTACCCACACCACACTGACCAAATCTTCTGTCTTCAAGTGGTGAACTTCCCCCGCCCTGTAGCTCACAAACCCCAAAGCAAAACCCTTGCAGGAGGTGGTGGTGGTGACCCACATCCTTTCTCCATAAATGTTATCTCCCCTTCCCTTATCAGCTGTCATTTTATCGATGACCAAGTCCATTCATTTCATTCACACCAAGAATCTCTCTCTACAAACCTGACATCTTCTTCCAGAATTAGATTCCTGAAAATATCCTTGGTAACTTTTCCAAATGTCTGTGCTAAAATGGATGGATCGATGTCTTGATAATTCTCTGAAAAATAAAGGTGCAACACATTTGTGAAAAATAAAACATTTGATTAAGAACAAAATACAAGTGTTTGTTTGTAATATGTCAGATAAGAAATGTAAATGGACCAATTGCATAAAATTTTAAATATTTTTCTTTGCTTACACTCAAGGCATTTAACCCAATCACAATGGTATTTCTATTTTCAGAATTAAAAGCTGATTTGAAACATGAGCTACAGGGTGCAGTGGATAAATTGCCGTCTAAATTACACAAAAATGAAAATAACACTGATATCTCATTTTAATAGATATATTTACTAAAATTATACAAAGACATCTTGAATTACTAAAGAGTGAATTTATTCAATAATTGTCATTGGCTTCAACCATAGCCTCTAAACAACTTCGGAATTTCCTGCAACTCTTCTGGACGGTCTCCTTGTTAAGTTGGTGAATGCTGCCATAATCCTTGCCTTCAGTTCATCTTTGGTATTACAAGGAGTTTTGTTGGTCTGTCACAAAGAGTTGATTTATGCAAAATTTTATAATAGCCTTAAATAGGACAGATGTCACCATTTTAATGCTGAAAAGGCTGGGAGTACTAAGGAACCTTTCAGTCAACCCTTCATCAAAAAAAAATTGTTGATGAAAATTATTATCTTAGTTATAACAGGAACCATGAAAGCAATTTAAAGTGACTAATTGTTTTCCTTGTTCCTGTTATAAATAAAATTATTAATTTCACCAACAATTTTTCTGTGATGAAGGGTTGGCCAAAAGGTTCCTTAGAAATTTCACCCCTGACTTTTTTTAGTATTAAGCCCTATTTAAGCCAATTATAAAATTTTAGAAATTGAAGAAAATATAAATTCAGCTGGTAAGATTGGTAAACTACAAACTACTAAACTTCCTACAATGTACCAATTAAATTCAATGGTTTCTTTTCCCATTGCTTTGATAGTCAAACTCTCCATTTCCTGTATACAATTTTCTTTAAGCATTTTAATCCAAGCAAGGAGAGAGTGCTACCAGTATGCAAGGGGTTACAGAGGATGACAGTAAGAGAAAATACTAGATTGAGAAAAGCATAAAAAGAAGAATGAGAATCAAGGCATCAGAAGATACCAATTGACATTACATTTAAATTTTTGAAGATTATATTTATCAGGAAGCAAGTAAGAGGAAGGGATTTCCACTGTTGAGAAGTGCAAGAGAAGAAGCTGTTAGAGTAAAAGAAGCTGTTATATTTAACTGTTTCAACAGTAAAAGGGTGGGACCAAGATGCCAACCTAGTAGCACACTTAAATTCATGCAGTTGGGGCACTAGTGAAAAATAGTTCATCAGAGCAGATGCCATGAAAATATTTGTAGAAAAGACAGCTGGAAGCCACATCACGTCTGTGAGAAAGTGACTGGAGTCCAGATGCCCAGTCAGGACCAATCACATTGCATATCCGTCTTTGAATTTTGTCAAGAACCTCAAGATGAACAGTGGGGGCACCAGCCCATACAAGGCAACAGTATTCTATGGATGAATGTTTTGATTTGTAGATATGAAGAATGGATTCAGATGCGAAAAACCTTCTGGTGTGACATAGAGAACCAACTATCTTTGTGGTAAAGGTAGGTTTTGATTCAATGTAGTTGTTCCACCTCAGGTCAGTGGAAAATGTGAGACCAAGAAGGCACAGTGGGTCACTCATAAATCATGCTGATAGAAGGCAGGGAAGTTTCTCCATGGAGGGTAAATGAGAGCAGTTTCATTTTGGAGGCATTAAAATTTACTAGAAACAGGTATGCTTCCTTTGGATGTGAGCAGGCCCTTGTCATATACACATTTAAAGTTTTCTATCTGAATTTCTGGGATGAGAAGATATCATTAATTACATCATATACATGCAGACTATTGCCCTCATCTGCATTGTTGTTGTTGTTGTCACATTTCAGCAAGTGTCCTCTCCAGGCTTCATTAGGTTTATGTCAATTCAGTTAACCTACAGAGAATTCTGAATTAAACCCTTTAAATAATCTAAGGGGCGTAGACTATTCTCATTCCACTGCCTATGTCTAGGGACATCTCTAGTTCTTATTTTAGTACTGCTCAGTTATTGCTTACCCTGTTTGCACAGAGTCTAAATACACACTGCCCAGCCTGGGGTCTGAACTCACAATTACTATATAACCAAATTCACAAGCCAACACTCTAATCCACTAAGCAATTATAGTTTTGTCAAAAAATAACTGAATAACACAAAGCAGTTACATTTACAATAAAAACATTGGACTTGTATTTTCCTTGAAATATTGTCACTAATTTGAAGTAATCTTAGATTTCCCAAGAATTAAAAGTGTTGGCATCCATTTTAACTCGATTTCCAACATGGGTTCTTAATATTTTTTTATTTTATTTTTTCTGCAGAATCAGGTGATTTATTTTCACCTGTGCTGCCATCGTTATCAGCATAAAATTAGCAGAATTTTGAATCTGTCTCAGTTAAGAGGAATATTGGGGAAAAATAAATAAATAAAAAAAGACTGAAATCAAAAATTATTTTAAAAATAAAAAACAAGGATCTATAGATTTGCCAACACATTTTAACATCCCCACCACTCCAATTCAGAAGAGTCTGACTTTGTGTCTGAAACAATTATATTGATATTAGGATGCTATTTGCTTCTATCCACAAATCAAAGGAACACAGTAATGGAATTTAAAAGATTTAATCAGCTGAGTGTGTGAATGGCAGGGGATATAATTTTGTTTCATACTAAAATGAATATATATATATATATATATATATATATATATATATATACATACACACACAGACACTTTTTTATTTGTATATATATATATATACACACACACCCCTTTTTTGTTTATATATATATATGAGCAAACAAAAAAGTGTATGGCTTTTTATGTGAGTCTGTCACTCTCTCTCTGTATATATATATATATATATATATATATATATATATATATATATATTTGCATGTGTGAGTAGTTTTGCTTATTGTCCATGTGTATGCAATTTTGTGACCATATGGAAACAGATTTATTTAGCATTTACATCTATGTGCATAAATACAGATGCATGCAGATGTGTGTGTGTACGTGTGTATATATATATATATATATATAGAGATATATTACACACACACAAAGAATACTACTCAGTAATAAAATAAAAATAAAATGTAATTTACACTAGGAAAAGCAATTTTTTTTTTTTTAGTTTCTAGAAATTTTTTCAATTGCAAATTTAAAAAAAGAGAAACATTTTTTTGCTTTCTCTTTGATTTTCTGCCTATTCAAATCTCCTCACATTCTCCTCATCTTCTCTGTCTCCACAGATTGTCATTTGTTTATTTTTAGCCAACAAATCTCTTCAATGTTTCAATTTTTTTTTTAAATTTAAAAGCATGATACCAGCAAGAACGCATTATCTTGCAAAGTATCAGAATTTTATTTTAAACCTTTGTCTATAGAATCAGTCCAACCAAAATAGCAGTCAAAATGAAGGCAAAAATCAGCAAATAACATGATCTGTGTTCTACAGAAATTTTTGCCAGCAAGCCCACTGCCACTCCCATATTTATATGGCCACATTGACCACCCCAACCCTGACAACTTCAACTATCCCAAGGTTTCTCTGCTAAATACAATGCACCAAATTTAGGTTCTCACAAAGGATTAACTCTTCTCACAAAAGAGTCAATCTCCAAAAGTTAAAGGAACACAAGTCTTTTCTTCACCTCTTAGACAATTGTATCTACTTCCAGTTGTCTTCTTTTTCATTCCTAAGTATATTTTTTAACTTCTCAATATTTAACTTAATTTCTGAAAAACATCTTTCCCTTTTCCTGTGTGACTTTGAATTTCAATTGACAATTATAATTTTACCCTAGTAAATGAATTTGCACACTTCTTTGATTTTGACATTTCCAATGCATAACTGTTATCTTTGTCTACCCCTTTTGCTTACTACCATGCAGTCCATCATTTTACAATGACAATTCAATGTATAACATATAAATTAATTCCAAACTCAAATAATTTAAATACTAATTTTCACTTACAGACTTTTGTTTATTAGACATTGAATTTTATCACTTCATGTCCTCCATAATTTACCTGACTTTTCAGTTAACCTGATGAATACTTGAGTGTTCCTGTATGTAAAAATTTTGAAAAACCAATAACATTTTGTTCTTGTATCAATACTTGTTACAAAATAAAATTCGCATTTGCCTTAATAAAGTGCCTCAGAGGATGAAACATGTCAGCTAAGATAAGTTTTCCTTTTGTTTTTATTCATACATATAAAATAATTATTAAATAAGAAACAAGTACAAAAACCTTTATAAATTTGACCTGCTTTGATATTTAGCTTCATCAGAAATTTTGGAGAGAAAGAATGATTCCTAGAAATGTTTTGGGAATGAATCCCCAAAAATGAATGATAAAGCTAAATAAAGCACATCAAATTTTCCTAATTATTTGACATTTTTTTTTTTTTGGGGGGGTATTTCACCCCACACAAGACACTAATGCCACTAGGATGCAAGAGATTACTGAGAGTGAAAGAGAATGTGAAGACTTTAGTGAAGAGAAAGGACAATAAAAGAACAGGTTTAGAAAGATAGAAGACAACGATTGGCATTACATTTAAATTTTGAAGATTGTAAGTGGCAAGGAAGTAATAAAGAGTGCAAAAAAAGAAACTATTAAAATAAAACATATGGTTGCATCTTGTTAGTACAATAGTAAAACTGTGAGACCTAGTTACTAATCTAGTAGTACACTTACATTAAAATATTTGTAGATAAGACAAAGGGAAGTCAGGTCATGTCAGTGAGAAAGTAATGGCAATGTAGATATCAAGTAAAGGATTACAATACAGACCCTTGTTTGAATTTTGTCAAGCTATCAGAATTATCTGATCCACTTGATTTTTTTCAAGGAAAAAAACTATTATGAGGTCTAGAATTGGTACTTTTAGGGGTTGAAGATGATAT